CCGCCAACGTTATTGCATTAGCACCCCGAGCTAGCGAGCGAGAGAGATAAAGAGAGAGAGAGAGAGGGGGGGGGAGGAGATAAAGAGAGATATAAAGAGAGAGTGAGAGAGAGAGTGAGAGAGAGAGTGAGATAAAGAGAGAAATAAAGAGAGAGATAAAGAGAGAGATAAAGAGAGAGATAAAGAGAGAGAGAGAGAGAGAGAGCGATGCCGGGGGAGGGGGGAAGACACCTCCATTTCTGCCCAGAGAACCAAACATACAGAGTCCACTTTTCGTCTACTCTGAATCATCCGCCTTTGCATCATTGCGCTCTGCTTGTTTCTGCTTTCTTGTCTCCCATTTATTTATTTGGTACTCTGTCATTGCTTTTTCTTTCCTAACTCGCTATCTCGCTCGATAGAACATTCAGGGCACACGATAATCTTTTGTTTGGAAAGCCGATAAGGGCTTGTAAAGTATGCTTCGACGTAAGTTGGTTCAAACGATATAATAATATGGGCAAACATCTAATATCAATTCCTGCCAAAGGGGATAATTAATTATATGATAATTAATGTAGCTGTAATTTTCTTCTATAGCCGTTAATAATAAATTTTTATGATAAATACAGCATGCTTGTGTAGGAATCAAGAAAGATGCTAAAAAATCAATAAAAATTAATAAAAATTAATATAATTAGAAAACACGTATACGCAATTGTATATTCGATAAATCATATTACATCCCTTCATCTTTTCTGCAGAAACAAAGGACGAATGATTTTTTTTACAATTTTCAATCGGCTATTATATAATACATTTTATTAATAGCATTGATTATCTCCAAACATTGAATGTTAAAATTTTTTATTCAATAAAAATTTTTTAATAAAAATAGAATTGTTGACTAAAATTACTTACAATTTTAACATATAATTTATGAAATATGTCTTGATAAATGAAATGCAAATAATTTGTTTCAATTTATATGTAAAATATTCTTCTACTAGGTTTGTTTATACATTTTTTCTGTTGCTTTTTTTTTTTTTTTTTTTTTTTTTTAAATCTTTTACAGAAATAGAGAAGTTGGGATGAAAATATCGATACGTTTAAAGTCGTGAAATAATAAAATAAAATTATCCGTTAGATTTAGTTAATTTTAAGATATTTGATATCGTAAATACTACATTAAATATGACATAATTGTAAATATTTTATTCTTACATCAATAATAAAAATGTCATTTAACTGGACAATGCGCAATCAATGTATCAAATCTTTTAATTTTACATCGAAATGCTGTAATTTTTTTTTAATGAATTTTACCCTATTTGATTATGATATTCGTAGCAACACAATATTACGAGCTGTTATCATTGAAAAAATAATTGTAACAAAGATTTTTAAAGGATATAACAGCATTGAAGCCCCCCCCCCCCCAGAAGTTAATGCGAACATGTTAATGTAATAAATGTACATCCGAATGATATCCATACGAGTTTTCAAACACTCGTCATTAATTATCCACCAATGTACACATACGTATAAAACGATTATTTTTACGATCGTTTAAACGATCGTTTTCTTTTACTTTTCATTACGTAACAATAAGGATCGGTCAAGAGAGATGAAAAATGAATGTTTCTCAGTAAATGAACTAATTCTACTTTGTCGTCGCTATTTGGGATTCATGCCAAATTACGCTCCACCAATACGGCCGCGACTACGTTTCGATTACCCGTAAACACAAATGCGATTAAGTTACGATTTAAGCAAAGTCAATTTCACTCCGACGTAGGAATAATAAAAACTTTGCATGCAGTAGGTGTTTTCATCCTAGCGGCGATGAATCCGGCGCGACGAGCTTTCGCCTGTCAGTCGTGCGAACGTCGGCATCGTCGTCGTCGTCGGTTAGTAGCGACGTGACGCGTCACAACGCCTTGCTCCGTCTACTCTTGTTTGTTCGGAAATCACGGCCTCTGACGAGCTGTGTACTTTGTACTCTCTCGTTCGCGCGTTTATTGCCACGGCAAACTGTGCAGAGGGCTCGATGATGGAGTGGGACATTTTTCACTTGGCCTGGCTCTTTATCACCGCAGACAGGAACAGGAAATCAAACTGCGACCGCGTTTTTGCGGGCCAGCCATTGCAAGCTCGCTCGTAGGATAAGGAAGTTGATCGTCGGTGTAGCGAACCGATGCTTCTTGATAAGCAATAAAATAAATTGTCCAATGAAACAACAACAACAAAAATAAAGAGAGAGGGAGAGAGAGAGAGAGGGAGAGAGAGGGGCAGAGAGAGAGAGAGAGAGAGAGAGAGAGAGAGAATGAGGATTATATCGTCAATATCCAAAGTGACACTATTTGCGCGAATAAAACACGTAATTGCGTAAGTTCAATAACAATAAAGCTCATTTGGCATATAATGTGTAAATGCGATAAAAATCAAAGAGGTTATAAATAAATGAATTATACGTGAAATATAATTTATTTTCTTAACTATAGGTTTTATTTGATTTGACAAGACAATTTGGATTTATTGTTACCAGAGTTACATATTTTTTCATTTACAAGATTGGCGCTGTTAGCCATTGACATTTTTCTTCAAGCTGACTTTTTCTTTCTTCTCCTATTTGCTGTCTTTTTTCTCTATTTTTCTCTCATTTTTTTTTCTTTTTTTCTTTGTTTTTTTCTTTTATTAGATAAAACGTGACAAATAAAATAAAAGTTCGCTATTGCTTAGTGTCGTAGGCGTTCACAGGAAGAAAATTTTACCAAAAATCTCTATTTCAACTACTACTCGAGTAGTCTTGAGCGTCACAAAGTACATTTTTTAAACGTACGTAACTCTCACATTTGCAGTTACATGTGCGCACAGACCGGCAATCCATATCTCCATCTTTATAAAATCCAAAATTCCACAAAGTATCTAATCACGTAACATTACCCTCGCATAGACGATATAATTAATTGAATACTCAAATGAAATTAATGAGACTTATAAATTTTATAAGAAATACACGCGCACTATTGATATTCGTAAAGTCTTTATCGAATTATGTTTTTACATTATTTTCGTATTTATTTATAGTTAGAGCACGGCCTGCCCGAAGAAAGCACGCCAAGTTGTTATCTATAAAGCTAGAATCGAAAAGAACCGAACGAATTATTTCTTTGATTTCGCGATTGAATCGCATAATGATAATACGCGATCGTCAGCATCACAGAACGCTTCCCTTTCATTCAGCACTTCACGTGGCATCGCTGAAAAGCCAACACTACCACGAAAAGTGATTCATCTTACGTATACCTTCGTACCTCTTGCGGCGAAAGCGCCCGAAGGGGGGGGGGGGAGCCGAGAAAATCCCGGTTAAAAACTCCCTTCGCAATTTCAATTCCAACACTTACTATACACGATACACCATCGATACTTACTATCTCATTACATATTTGTTCGTTTATTTTTTCTTATTTTCATTTAATTATTTCTTCATTTTTATTTCTTTTCCATTTTATTTTATTATACTTTATTCGTTACTTTATTAATTAATTAATGAATTATTTAGTTACTTTTATACAAACTCTTCACTTTACACTTGCTGGGCTAGCGAACGACTTTAAATGCGAGTATCAAAAACTCGATCGATCGCTTATAACTCCAAATTTTTTCATTTAAAAAAGATATTATTATTATTGTTGTTGTTGTTGTTGTTGTTGTTGTTGCTGTTGTTGTTGTTGTTATTATTATTATTATTATTATTATTATTATTATTATTATTATTATTATTATTATTATTATTATTATTATTCCGAGAGGTATCATAAAGGGAGACTGGTCGTTTATTCGCTCCGCTGTGTCTTCAAAACTATCATTTTAAATCACGCAACTCACACTCGAATAGTACCTGCGCGTCCACTATTAGTACCGTAATAACTAAAAAGTATCCAAATAGTGTTGAAATAACTAGTGTTTTTTTTTTTTTTATAACGACCCCCAAAAATACATTAACATGATGTAATCTATAATAAACACGTATCATCACGATTCATCCAACATCAGTAGATTTTCTTTACAAGTCTTATAATTTTGTCTTTGATTTTGCTTAGTTAAACTACCAAATTTTAACAACATATTAATTCTCATATTTTCCTAATCCAAACAAATAAACAATTATTAATATAGAAAATGTTTGTATGCGCGCTTATGTGTGTTTTATGTGGTGATAAATGTAAATTAGTATAAATACTTTTTATGATGATTAAACGTTGCAATATGAAATGTAAAAATCTGCCTTTTGGCAGTCAAGAGAATGGAAAAGAATAAAAAACAATTTTGTTATTCAGTTTTCTCAACTTCCTCACCTCGATATAATACATATAATTCTCATATAAATTTAACGTGCTGTATGTATAGAAAAGTACTTGGTTGCTCAATTTCGTTATAATATTTTTTTTGTCCACAAGACGATCCTTGTAATTAATCAACACGTACAATATCACACCTACGTTATTGAATTTTTCTGAGATTATGAGAATAACGGAGACTCGAAGTAACTATACATAACATTCGGTACGTTCTCTCGATGAAAATTATTGTTAAACGAGCGATTTAGGCCTTCGGTACCCACGCAATTAACGATAAAAACGAATCTGACAAGCATTGCTCTATTCGACAGTGGACCCCAAGATTCAATTTAACGATTAATATTTCAAATATTTGATCGAGCAGCACACGTAGCCGCAGTCGCTGCCCTCGACATTCAATTGGCAAAGAGCTAATGCACAATCAACGGAATATTGGACGCATAAATGGCAAGAAAATTCATTGCTCGCGTCATAGACAAGAGAAGCTATTCTTTATAATTTACAAAAGCAATGTAGAAGCCCCGTTGACTTGGCGAGCGCCTCGACAACGTGCCAAGTAAAATCCGCAAAGAAGGTAAAGTCCTGCCAAAGGTACTATTCGAGTGCAACGCAATGCCCAATCGCATCCTTCAGCAGATTGCAGCGGGGCCACGAGTCTTACGCCGGCCTCGAGAGCCCGAGGGCCTCCTGGTGCCGCCTGGCCTTGAGCCTCAGGTCGGCGATGCTACTGCTCTTGGACCTGCTGTTTGCGGCCGCGGCGGCTAGGGAGGCGGCGAGACTGAGGGGGTGTGCCGGGTGTCCGGTCGCTCCCGAGGCGGTGCCACCGGGGGTCGGGCCCGGGTGGCCCGGGTGCGGTGGCAGGCAGAAGAGACCCCCGGCCGCGGCGTAATGGAGCACCGCCGGGTCGAAGGCCGAGCTCGCCGAGTTGTTCGCCGTCGGCTGGATCTGCGGGTGGAGCCGGAGCGCCGGTAGGTACGGAGCTACGCGGCAGGGCTCGAGGCTCGTCGGTGGGCTGCGCGGCGCCAGGACCATGCCACCCGTTACACCTGGTGTCACAATTAATTCACCAATGTCACAGAGTCTGGACTCTTAACTTTAAGAACATGCCGAACTCCATAGGCAACGGTCATTCAAATCAGCCGAATTACGATAATGGCGTGTCATCGAGTTTTTCACGGTCTGAGAGTGGGTGGAGCGATAACGACGAGGGCAAGCGCTTCGCGTTAAGAAGCACGCCATTATAATAATAAGTATTGGCAAGCTAGCGAATTCTATTTTGGGGAGGGAGGCTAGGGAGGGAGGGAGGGAGGCTAGGGAGGGAGGGCGTTGCGGTTATCGCACTCGCACGCGGCCAAGTTCGATAATAAGCGTTGACGGAGTATTGGTGGAAGGGAGTCGCGAGGCCCTCCTACACTTTGTTCGGGAGGCACTAGCACGTTTCGACCTCTCGCGGCCATTTTCATTGGACCGCGTCAACGTCAACGGCCTAAGTAAAGCTCACCTTTGTGCAGTTGGCTCTCGTGCTTGCGGCACTTGGCGCGTCGATTCTGAAACCAGACCTGGACCCGCGCCTCGCTGAGGCCGAGCCGCTGACTCAGCTCCTCGCGCATAAAAGCATCCGGGTAGTGGGTCTCGTCGAAAAGCCTCTCGAGCTCCGCGAGCTGCTCCAGCGTGAAATTCGTCCGCGACCTCCGCTGCTTCCCATTGCCTCCGGCTCCACCGCCACCGCCTCCTCCGCCGCCGCTCCTCCCGCCCCCGCTACTGCAGCTACCACCTGGAACTTTTACCATTAGATGCTTATTCTTGCCGCGCGATCTGCCGGGAATTTTCACAGACGACCTGGCGCTGTGTGTGTTTTCCGTGCCCGGCTTTTTCGTACGAGTTGGAGCTTTGCCACGAGCTCTGCCAAAGACTCGCGTATTTGCAAGATAGATAAAGTGATAGATACGTCACTGGATTAATAAGAAACGCTGTACCGTTAAATGCATAGTAAGCTGATTGCGATAATCTCGGATTTCGCCTTATAAAGCCCCACGGATTTCATATTCGCGGCCGATGATAAATTAAACCTACGGTATTATTTTATGCTCTCGTAATACTTTATGCCCGTTAAATTGTGATTTAGTATGTATCCACTGTTACGGTCGGTAAATATATACTTGGGAATAAAAAAGTTACGGTAGGTATAATTTTCACGTGCTGATGAAAATAATCTTTGGGCGCGAGAATATTTTATAAGCGTAGCCTTAGAATTTATTAATGGGATACGGGCGACCTCGGTCCACATAATTATGAAAAATGTTTAAATTATCGATGCCGGCCGTTTCAAATGCACACGCACACGATACAATTTGAAATTACGAATGCAGAATCTATTGCGCGATCAATATTATCAATGGAAGAAACGGAAGTTTACGTTTAGTCCACATTAACATGCATCTATACGTTTGATCTCTGTTACAATATGTATCCGCCTTAATAAAATGAGTAGATCGAAGCTTCGAGTAAAGACTGGAATTTTATTTATTCACGAGGATATTATTTACGTTGGGGAAGTAAAGTAAATCAAATTGAATTTTGTGTAATAAGTATGGATTCGATCTGAGCTCGAGCGACCGCCTAAGTCCATGCATCTATCAATGGTCAGAGGTAGTTTAGATAATTAGTGTCAAATTTATCTCGAGTCAATGATAAAAATAACTCGCGACTACTTAGACAAGAAGTGGCGCAAGGAGTCCATGAAGCAACACTAAAGCGCGTAAAACTACTAACTCGATCCACTTTTCCAACTATCCTATGATAGGCTTGATCAAAGTACTCTCCTATCGCGTATGTGTTTGCTTCTTTACTATCGTTAAACAGAAATGGCACGATAAACTAATGGGAAAGCTTAAACTTGAGACAATGATAAACAACGCGAGCTTGTCACGATTCATCATGTGTCGAGGTCATTCGGCTCTTCGCCCTCGATACGCCGAAATGACGTTCGATGCATCGTCCGTAGGCTTGTAAGGACGATCGATGTCACGACGAGACTCGGCGGAAAATATCACTGGCTCCTCTTATATCACACGAACATACTCGTTCGTGCATTAATTGCATAAATAACTAATAATAGATAGTTATAAAATAGTTTTGCAAATTATTATTCCCTCGTAAGTAGGATATCACTTGGTTGTTATTACTTAGTTAAGTTGTTAAACGCATTGGAATGTGTGTTTATTGAAAGTCTTGTGCATTGAGCATAATACTCGTACAAATACATACGTTCAATGATTTTAGTAAATAATTGAGCATTATTGTTCTATGCTTCTTTCATAATTGAAATTCGATGAATGTCAAGAGCCAAGCGACGAGCGACGAGAATATGCAGCACGAGTAAATTCACTCTTAGATTCGCATCACATCCGATTCCTTCGCTTGATCAAACAACGCAAACAACCCTTCCCCCCCCCCCCTCCCCACCCCACCCCCAACGAAATTACATGTCATCGTCTGTATAAATAGCCGAAGCGTGGAAAAAGAGAGACTGGGATCCAAGGGTGGGAGGGCAGAGGAGAAGAAGAGAGAAGAGGAAAAAGTCTTCGCGTCGAATGGCACGTAATATGCACTAATATACGGGGGTGAGTGAGAAAGTGTGGTAAGTTCCGGTCTGCAGGCGAGAACTCCGGAGCCACAGAGTTGCGACAATCTTTACGACTCGTTGCTTTTATTGCGCTGCCTCCATCCTGGCCAGTACGCCAGTACGCGGGGGCCGCGTGAGTTTAAAATATCGGGCGTCCGGGGGCCTCCTCGCCTTACGACTTTTCCATTCAAATCTCCACGAGGCGTCACCGATTGCCCGAAATCAAGGAGCACGGGTCGTACTTTCTTTTTATTGACCCTATAAATAAAGTATGATTAATCGAGCACTTCGCCCGTCGTCATGGCACTTTCTCACTTTTATGTCAACGACTGTTTTTTTAAGTCTCTTTAGCCGCCGCCTCTTGGCTTTTTTATTAGTAAACTGCGCGAGGTCGCTCCGTGGGGTCCATCGAAACCATGCCGTTTTAAATATTACACTAAAGAGCTTTCGAGACTTTAAGAAAATGTTGATAGACGCAATTCGGGAGCTAATTACAATATTCGTCGGTAATACGAGGTAAGCGATAGTGCAGGAGGACTACTTAAAAAATGCCGAAGTCAAGGACGATTGACAAGCACGATAGACCGATGCTTTATCGATCAAGCTTCATCGTCCATCGAGAATACTTCAACTGAATAATCCAATTTGCCATTAAATAGCAAAGGCAGAGCTTTGCATCAAAGCATGGACAATAAGCGAACGTCTATCGCTTTATCGTAACTAAATTGGAAAATAGCGAGTGAATAATAGTAGCGGTGCCACGACGCAGCGTCCCACTAACATTAAAAGTATCTAAGACGAAGCTCTCGGGGCCCGAGAACCACAGACCGGAGAGTCGCGTAAAATTGCCTGCCATTACGAATTCCATAATAAAGTCAAGTGCTAATTGAGGAGAATCTAAATTATAAGTCGCGGGTGGGCGAGTCGAGTCGAGGGGAGGTCGAGAGTTGGGGTGGGTGGGGATAGAGGCAGGACTTACGGAAGGCGATGCGGAACAAGGTTGGCCAGGCCATAGCGACCGAGGAAAGTAATTTCGAAGAAGTGTCGAGGGCCGAGGTGCGAGCGACCGCTCGCTGTGTACACGGGTTGAGTGCCCCTCCTCCCGGTAGCGTCGCCGCGTAACGCTCGGTTAATTAATCGCCTCGCAGGAAGCCGCTAATTAATGGCTCCTTAATGCAGAGTCAGCCGCGTAAACAAGCGGCTTCCGAGCGGAGGCTGCGCGCCCGAAGAAAGGGTGCGTGATTTATATAATTTAGCAAAGTGTCGAGCTCGTCGGAGCCGCTGACTGAGGGGGGAGAGGCAGTTAGTCAAGGGCCACCATCCCCCGACGAATCCCAGGATTTAATCACCAGCGGCGCCTGCTGTTGGAGCTCTCTTACGGCGATTGAGCGTGGCCTCGGACCTTTAACGTGCCACTTCGTCGCTCTTCCCCGCTCTC